AACCTGTATACCTTTTGCTCACTGTGACTTTCCAACGAATTTTCCCTCATTTCCCTCCCCCCTCTGTTTATTTGCCAGGCTAGAATAACTCAGAGGATATGGGGTTATTTCCTCTGTGCCCCAAAAATTAATGTTCATTGGTATTTTAAGCCAGAGATAACTAAGACAATGGATTCTGAAAAGAAAAGTCAATTTTTAAGTATTGTTAAATAACTGATCATTTATTTTTAGAACTCACCTCTTTTAAAATATTTCACCTCTTCACTTTTATCAGGAGATAATCCAACAAAGTATTTTACACCACAGGAAACATCACTGTGGTATAAGAAATACATTTGCTCTTTGACTTAGGAATTTTCTGAACCACAGGTGTATCTTTTGTTATTCATAAGAAGCCTTTTAGAGCAAATCTGAGTTTATGCTGATGAAGTGATTTAGTTTCTGTATGGGCTGGTCAAAGGAGGAGAGGGTTGGAATTTTCTGCCCTACCCACTAATCTCCAGGAATGAGATGAGAGAGGGGATGCAGATTAAAATACTTAAAAATCCTTTACAGTGAGATTTGATGGCCTTCTGGGACTGTTAGTGTACCAAATAGAGGGAGAGATAGCCCACCCAGGTTTCACTGGAATAGATGCTCCTTGCTCAGGACCCATCTTTGCCCTCATCTGGGCTTTCACCTATATATTTTACTATATCTTTATGATAAACTGCTAAACATAAACAGCCTCTCTGATGGTCTAGGGGTTAAGCTTCAGTGCTTTCACTGCTACAGCCTGAGTTTGATACCCAACTAATCCATACATGGCATAGCAGACCTCTCCTGTTTTGCCTGCTGCTCCCCTCAGCAGTGTCTTTCAGTAGATCTGCCTGTCTGCTCCCCACTCTGTCTCTGATAAATCCTCTCACCCTCCTCCCACCCTGCACCCCAGGGTCCTGCACCCCAGTGTGCATGAATAAATAAATTGTTGTTTTTTTTAATCCAATAAACAATTGGCCTAAAATGCCAGGACCTGATTAAAATACCTTTCCTAATTTTGGTCCCAAACACAATTTAGGACCAAACACAAAGTCAAATATGCACCCCTAATCACATAAGATGCCCCTCTTCTAGTTAGCCCACCTACAGCTTGTCCATATCAATAACCTCCAAACCTCCTAAAAGGGCATACCTGAAATATTAACTTCTATCAGTATAAAGCTCTCCCAGTCCTCTGCCAAAAGGTTGACTCCCTTGCAATAACAAGTTCAGAATGAATTTTGCCTTTTTGTTTGGTTTGTTTTTGTAGCTTCCCACAATTATATAATGACAGTCCATTGGAATCATCCTAGTTAAAGATGAAACAATAATTCATATAAACTGGGACCTGAAGGAACCAGGAAGGACCTGTCATAAACTGAGGATTCTATAGGCAGAACCTGATGACAGACATCATCTAGTTTAATAACCACAATCTAGGGAACAGTTGTGCTGTCTAGGTGCCCTTGACACTCAGTCTCCTGAGTTCAGGATACTGGAGACTCACCACCTGTTTCACCACCTGTGGCTATGTTACACAACACAATTCTCTTGCTTCTCGATGCCCTCCATTAACCATTTATTAAAACTCATGCTAAAAAGGTGACTTATGACATTAACTTCTCACAAATCCATCAAACGTCTCATTCTGTGGCTCAGCTGCTCAATTCTGGCTGAATGATTTGCACATTAGGGAGACTAGTTTCTCTCTTCCTAACCAGGCTCGCAATAAGCCATGTGCAGTTTTGTGCAGACTTCAAACCCTGCAGTTTCTATGAAGTTACTTCTTAAGTTAGTTTGATTAATTGGAGGTTACCTCACTGAAAACACTAAACAAGTGAGGAAACCCTAACTAAAAATGATCGGTTTTATTAAAAAACAAAGTTGCTTTAAATTATCTATTAATTAGAAAAGAACACGTAATTATTACAGAAAAATTTGAAAAGCAACTAAAAAGAAAGTTAAAATCACCCACAATGGTACTATCTAAAGAAAAGAATGTTCCTGTTGATACATAACTTCAACCTCTTTTTCCTGAGTGTGTATTCGTGTGCACATGTAGGGAAAGGGAGATTCACTTGAACAGGATGAACCTGATACCACTTTGAACTGAGTAACTTTGCAAGTTTCCGGGGAGTAAAACTTACTGATTGGCCAACTGTTCATCAAGGCATTTTTTCAAGGTACTTCCCTTGAAGTGTACAGGGCAGGGAGAACATCTTGCACAACAGAGAAACCATCTGTACTTCCCTGATTCTATCCATGCATATTGACCTCTGTGCCTGAAGAAGCCTCCCTCACCTTGTCTTCAATATCCCTTGCTCTCTCTATGCCTCTCTTCCCACCTCCCTCAACCTGGCAGCTGGCCTCAGTGTTCTCAGTGTTCCTACACCTGTGTGCTTAGCAAGTGGCAAATGGCAGAGCAATCACAGTGTGATTGGGTTTGTGCACATCTGTAAAACTGGTGCTTCAGAACAGTCAGGACAGGGGTTTCAACTTTGTACACCCACGCCCATACAAAGGATACCATGAAGATAGTGCAGACTCATGGTTGGAGTGTGGACTGTGGAGGCAGACTACGTGGTTTTGAATTCTGCCCCCACTGCTTACCAGCTGTGACCTTGGGCTCATTAGTTACCCTCTGTATGTCATGGTTTCTTTATCTTTGATACAAAGATAATTATGGTACATGGGTGGATTATTGGTGGGAGGGCTTCATATAATGGGAACAATAACTAGAGAAAGATGACCCATAACATAAGAGATAAAATTTTAAAAAGCATAATAATGGTACTTACCTTGCAGGATTATAATAAGGATTAAAGAAATTAATACACAATGAATATTATTAAAAGTTTAAAAAATGTCCTAAACATGATAAAGCACTACATAAATGTTTGAGATTATTATGCTCCGAGATTAGTATAAATACTGAGATTTAAGCAAAAGCACTAAACTATATTCCATGAGACTTTCAGATTTTATAGTCTTTTTACTCAGCAGTGAGAGAACTGAAGATTCACATAATTAGTCCTAGTTGCAGTTTTCTTTGTACACACAAACAAGTATTTGGTCTGGCATTCCTCTCTGACTACAATAGAAAATAGCCGTTCTCTTAAAACTATATTGGAATAATGCTGCTCCACTATTAAATGGAAAAGTTGTTATTAGATGAATATTCTAAGCACTAATTTGCTGTTCCCACATGAAAGACACTCATTAACTATGAAAAAATGCACACCTCAGAGTAAAGCATTGATGCCTTTCTGACTCACTTACCCTACCCCACCTCCCCCAGTTCATTAGCAAGCTTCTTTGGAGAGTCAGCCCACTTCAGTTCAAGGGGGTGACCTCTGACTATGCAATATTTTCTCTGAGTCACCTCAGACTAACCAGATGGAACTAGCCCAAAATCTCACACAGCTGCTGAGTTTAAAGTTTACACTCAGTTGCTAATTACTTATCAGGAGCCTGATTCCAACACAGAAGTGGAAACTTGCAGGTTTCAATTAATTCAGCTGGAAACAAATAACTGAACTAAAAAATGATAGACAACTTAAACACATTTCTTAGGCCTTTCAAAAATGTTAAAAGATAAGATGTTAAAATAAAGAACACATTATTTTAGAGTAAGTTGCAAAAAAAGTTTAATTCTCTTATTTTGAAAATATATACTTGCTTAAATATTAATTCTCTTATTTTGAAGGTATAGACTTGCTTAAATATTCATCTAAGCTTTGCTATAAAAATATATAGGGACCTCCCTGGTGGCCCAAGGGTTAGGATGCAGCACTGCAAGCTTGCTGCAGCTGCTTCAGTGCAAGTTGGATCCAAGGCCCTGGAGGTGACATGACACATCAGATCTCACCTGTCTCACCCACTGCTCCCCTTAGCAGTGTACTTCATCAATCTGCCTTCTCTGTCCCCCACACTGTCTCTGGTGAAGCTTCTCACTACCCCTGCATCTCTGGCCTGTACCCCAGTTCTATATGCATAAATAAATCTTTAAATAAATCAGCATCCTGACTTCCTAGAATTAGACGAATCTTCAACAACAACTTAAGGTACAGCATCAGCTAGTTGGAGCTGGGCTGGCTCTATAAGTTGTCTACTTTAAAGCAAAATCAAGTTTGCTATTCATTTATCCTTTGTATCTTAAAACTTAAAATAAAGCGGGCACCTTCCTTGATTCCACAAGAAAGGGAGACTATCTCTATAATTCCAAACCAAATGACTAGATGAGAATTGTTTTAAAGAGCTCTTCAGCTCTGCCTGTTCTGCCTTAACTTGTGTGTTCAGTGTGGGGAAGTCAAATATACTCTTAGAAAAACACCTGTGACCCACAGTCTCTAACCAATAAAAATATTTTCAATATGAAATAAAAATTGAGATCAAGGAGTAAACTAAAGTTTTCTTAATCAAGCATGACTTATTTTTCTGTGAAAATCATTCTGACCTGAAAAGTAACTATTGCCTTTCAGGTTTAAATAATAAAATTTCGATGAACAATTTAAACTGTGGTATAAAGAAACTTGGGAGGTTCTGCATCCATGTTCCTTACTGTCTGGTAGCATGGCCTTAAGCAATATTTTCCCTCATTGCATCTCCTGATTTGCAAAAAAACAAAAGTGACGGCACCTTTCAACCTCAAAGGGTGAGAGGACCAGAACTGGTATCTGGGAAGGGGTTGTGGGATCTCCACACGTGTTTATACTCTGCCTTTCCAGCAGAGGCTTGCTGAGGACTCCTGGAGTCCTGAGATATAGATGCTGAAAGGCACTGCAGGTACTCCATCCTGAGAACTGACTGCTTAGAAACTAAGCATACCATTCTCTCCAGCGACTAGTACCTGACGCCGTCTTATTTTAACAAACACATTCCCTGTCCCCAGTAAATTTAAACTAGAGCTGGACCCAGAGAGAACAGAGAAGACAAATAGGCCAGAGGATGTGGTGTCTAAAGGAGACCTCTCCGCCACTTACAAACAGGGTCTTCCATTTTCAAGGGTCTTTTCAAGCGGATGCTGGCTGGTATCGTCTTCTCGATCAGTTCCTCAATGCTCTAAAATTAAAACCAAGTCCGTGAAAACTAAAGGCAGAGGAAAGTGCTTCTGAGTTAAAGGAGTCACTTCTGCCTTTTGCACCTACAAAGGCTTGTGGGAACCTCACTTAAATCGCCCGATTAAGGTTTCTTTTTAAAAAGAAAAGAACAACCTTGAGCAAGTCAGAAATCACTCGGAGGAAAGAAAATAATGAAGAGGGAAGTGATTCGATCATTCCGGAGATAATCCAATAAGCAAGGAGGTCCCCATCTTGCAAAGTTAGGGCTCATCAGCAGGGCGACTTGGGTTGAAAAACATTCTGTTTTCAGGCGCAAAGAGAGTGTAGGAGTAATTAAGCTGGTGGGAGAAGTCTGGGGAACCCCGACCAAGCACTCGGATGTGCTTCCACCCCACTGCGGAGGAGCTGGGCTGGGGTGGCACCAGAAGAGGAGAGCTCGGGGCCGGGGCAGGGAGCCTACTCCAGAAGAACCAGGGCAGGACTGAGTGAGGCCCCGAAGGGCCAGGTGGGGTTCCTTACCGTGAGCCCTAGGGCCTGTAGCATCTCCCTCTGGTCTTTGTCCCCAGGGCCGATGTGCCTCCGAGCAAAGTCGTCGTGTCTAGGCAGGAGGCGCTCGAGGAGGCGCGAGGCCCCAGACCCGCCGCTGTCCCCTCCGCCGCTATTGCTGTCACGACCGCTAGACACCCAGCGCGGTCCCATGCCTCCAGTCAGTCGGCGGCCACTAACTCCGCAACCCAGACGCATCCCCCAGGCCCTGGCGTAAGTCTGCATGGTCGCAAGTACTGTTGCCTGCTCTAGCCCGCTAAAATCAACCGCGCTCCGGGTCCCACTTCTAATCGCGGTTACCCGAGTGGAAGCTGCGTCTGTCCGGCGCCCTTAACCGTTGGGCTAATAGTGGGACAGATGAAGGGATGCTTGGATAAAATGAATGGGCACCGCGCTCTAGGTTCTAGCAAAGTTGTTGCTCCACGCGAGGCACCTGCTCCGCACACTTTAAGCGTCTCCCTGGGGGCGGGCAGTGGGATGGGACCAGCAAACGTTGGGCCAATGGGAATGGACAGAGAGGCAGGGGCGGGACAGACTCCACCAGGTCCCCACTCCCTACCCCCTTCTTAAGCGCTCTGCGGAATCCCACTGATCCTGATCCTGGCCTGGAGTCTGCTTTACTCTTTCTTGCACCGATACCGGGGGAGGGGGAGGGGAAGGTGGGGAGGGTCAGGGGGCGGTTCAGGAGACACAGGCGCTTCGTGCTTTATAGGACTCACTAGAGATAAAAGATACTTCTGATAGGGAGCCACAGTCAGAGAGTTCAGAGAGTCAGAGAGTCGGTCCCTGTTCATTAATTTCAAGGTTACTTCTTGGGAATTTCTTTCTTATGGGATCTTAAGCAAGTTATTCAGTTTCTAAGCTTGTTTTATCCATCTCACAGAGCTGAATGGGACTTAAACATACCTGAAAAAAGCTAATGTAACAACAGGCTTGATGACAGGCTCATCCTAAGACCTGCTTACCTGAATCGGAAGCCACAGTGCTAGAAAGTCCTGAGAAACAGTAATAGTATTCTTGATGAATGCTGGTGCTAAATGTGTGAACTAATTTGAGAGGGAGAAATTCTTATGGACTACTTACTGCCTGGTAGGCCCCCACAATTCATAGGTTTTTATCTCTAGGATTCCCATGACTCCCGGAGCTGGAGAACCAAGACATATCCCCTCACAGCACTGAAATATGTCCAGTCTTCTTTTAAAAAAGGTCTTCCCTTCAAGGAAAGGATTTTTACCAGAGCTTTATCCCAACAATGTAAGGGAATTCCTCCTACTCCTGTCCCCACTAGTCTTCTTGTCTTATGTGATAGGGAAAAATTGTCAACAGGATTTAATGCTTCAAGGAAATAGTTTGAGAACCCTGAGCCAGAAAAGGAGTACAGGGCAGGGCTGGAAGTGTGGGAGCTATGTCACTGGGAAAATATTTGGAAGTTTACAGCCCAAAACATAATCACAAAAACATTAATAGTGGGCTCTCCCTGGTGGCTCAGTGGGTTAAAGCACAGCACCATGAAGCTATTGCAGCCACTGCAGCACAAGTTCAATCCCTGGTGGCAGAAGTAACTTACATGGCATGGCAGACCTCTCCTCTCCTGGTCACTGCTCCCTTCAGCAGTATGCTTCAGTACATCTGCCTGTTCTGCTCCCCACTATCTGGTGAATATTCTCACCCCCTGCACCTCTGGCCTATACCCCAATTCTGTATACATCAATAAAAAATCTCTAATAAAAAACATTAATAGTTAGGGCCTCCCTGGTGGTGCAAGGAGTTAAA